ATCCAGTGAGGCCCCAGGTCCACATCTGTGGGAAAAAAAAAATATTGCCTGCCATTCCAGTTATACAAGGATCAAGCCATTAGTTGCCTTTGGGGAATTCAGGGCAGAGGAAAGCAGGAAGCATTCTGTGCTTTGGATATCAGTCCCTAGATAATTAAGAAACTTATCTATGGAAAATTTTCAGAGACCCCAGATTCTTGCATCTTCCCATACATAAAAAACACTAAAATCATTAATCTAAGATGTCTGCTCTTTGTGATTGGCAGTAATATTTTTTATGTCCAACTACATAATTTTTCCCCAGCAGACAAATTCATATATATCTTGGCTCCTCTCCTACCTTTTTGGAACAATTTCTCAGATCTACGTGAGGTACTAGGACACTGAATAAACACAGCGCACAGCTCTTACGCTGTGTGTGTTTTTTTAAAAAATTGATATCTATAACCACTACTCAGACTATTTCTTATCCATTGTTGTAACCTGAGTACAGAGCCTAGCCAGTAGAGTTGATGATAAGTAATTCTTGTTGATCTCCCTGATAGTCCATTTTGCTTACTCATTCAATAAATATTAGGTTCCTCTTTCTAAGAGTGCCTGCAAGAATTCAAGATGATCAAATGAAAATATTGTTTAATTCACAAATTCACGCTTCCTGAGCACTGATTGTATGTCCAGGCACTGAGAATAGTGCTGGAGACAGGGAATGAGGACAGAGCCTCCGCCCTGTGAGAAGGCACAGACTCCTGGGGAGAAGAGTTCACAAGCTCGTGAGAAGGAAGGGAGGAGGAGGAGAGAAAGGTAGATCTTCACTTATTCATTACTCTGTTCCTGGAAGCTTCATGAAATTATCTGCCTTCTCCTAAAAAGAATTCTAGCCAGAATCTACTTTCTCAAGTGATGTTTCTGAGAACCATGTGCTGGAAACTTCTTACAGATACTGAAGAGAGCTACCATGGAAGCTGACATGGTTCTAAGTGTTCAGGACTGAGGCTTGTGGGTTGGAAGACAAAAGCTTGGCTCTTGACCAGAAAACAGTTCCCTGGGCCGTCTCCAGAGCAAAGAGCTCATGTTGCCATCTGCTGGCTACGGAGAAGATGGACCTGTGCCCAGCCTGTTTATAGGAGCTGGGAATGGCAGACTGGGAGGGGTGGGAACTTGTCACAGCCTGTTTAGTTTAGAGGTGAGGAAACTAACAAAAAGGTCACAGTCAGTCTGTGTTGTAGTCTGGGGCCAGAAAGCAAGTTCAAGATTCCTGTAGAGCCTGGTGCCTGCTCCTCTGGATTCAGAAACATGAAATGTAAAATCCCTCATTTGCACTTTGGTCTTTTCCTGGTTCTTCCTCTTCCTCTTCTGATCAGTCCTTGGGGAAGTCATTTCACTTCCAGTAACAGACTACCCTCCCCCTGTCTACCTCCTCCAGTCTTGCTTTGGCTTGGTGGCAAGCCAGTAAAATAAAGTAAAAGACGTTTTTGAAGTTTTGGAGGATGAAAGATTGTGGGTGAACCCAGCACCCAGCTTTTCACTGGAGGGCTTCACCTGAGAGGTGCTGGTAAAGTTAATGGAAAGGAGGAGGCATGTGCTGGGGGTTGGGAGGACAACACTTCACTTCTAGTCCAGCACAGCATCTGCAGAGCAGACCCCCAGCTGCTGGGCTTACCTCTCCAATAAGCTCCATGTCAAACATCTCTCTGCTATAGGCCAGCATTGCTCATGCTTGTCTCTGTGTGCACCTGCTCTCTCTAACACACTCACCTATCTTCACCCACATTTGCCCTCTGCCCTCCTCTGGAAGGGACAGGTAATCAAAATGACTTTGTGTCAGAGACATCTGGATTTTGTGTGTGCTACTCTCTCCACAACAAACTGTGGAAAATTCTTCAAGAGATGGGACATCTGCCTCCTGAGAGATCTGTATGCAGGTCAAGAAACAACAGCTAGAACTGGGCATGGAACAACAGACTGGTTCCAAATAGGAAAAGGAGTATGTCAAGGCTGTATATTGTCACCCTGCTTATTTAACTTATATGCAGAGTACATCATGAGAAATGCTGGGTTGGAAGAATCACTAGCTGGAATCAAGGTTGCCAGGAGAAATATAAATAACCTCAGATATGCAGATGATACCACCCTTATGGCAGAAAGTGAAGAGGAACTTAAGAGCCTCTTGATGGTGAAAGAAGAAAGTGAAAAAGCTGGCTTAAAATTCAGCATTCAAAAAACAAAGATCATGGAATCCAGTCCCATCACTTCATGGCAAATAGATGGGGAAACAATAGAGACAGTGAGAGATTTTATTTTCTTGGGTTCCAAAATCACTGCGGATGGTGATTGTAGCCATGAAATTGCTTGCTCCTTGGAAGAAAAGCTATGACAGGCCTAAAAAGTGAAAGTGAAGGGCAAGTCACTCAGTCATGTCCGACTCTTTGCGACCCCATGGACTACACAATCCATGGAATTCTCTAGGCCAGAATACTTGAGAGTGTAGCCTATCCCTTCTCCAGTGATGACAGACCTAAGACAGCATATTAAAAAACAGAGACATTACTTTGCTGACTAAAGTCCGTGTAGTCAAAGCTGATTTTTCCAGTGGTCATGTATGGATGTAAGAGTTGGATCACAAAGAAGGCTGAGCGCTGAAGAATTGATGCTTTTGAACTGTGGTGCTGGAGAAGACTGTTGAGAGTCCCTTGGACTGCAAGGAGATCAAACAAGTCCATCGTAAAGGAAATCTGTCCTGAATATTCATTGGAAGGACTGATGCTCAAGTTGAAGCTCCAATACTTTGGCCACCCAATATGAAGAACTGACTCATTAGAAAAGCCCTGATGCTGGGAAGGACTGAGGGCAGGAGGAAAAGGGGATGACAGAGGATGAGATGGTTGGACGGCATCACCAACTCAATGGACATGAGTTCGAGCAAACTCCGGGAGATGGTGAAGGACAGGGAAGCCTGATGTGCTGCGGTCCGTGGGGTCCCAAAGAGTCAGACACGACTGAGTGACTGAACAACAACAACTCTCTCCACCGTGCTGTTTACTGTGAACACGCCTGTAGTGTAACTACAGTGAAACAGACTTCTCTGGTGACTCAGGCATTGAAGAGTCTGTCTGCAGTGAGGAGACCTGGATTCAATCCCTGGGTTGGGAAGATCCCCTGGAGAAGGGAATGGCAACCTGTTCTGATATTCTTGCTTGGAGAATTCCATGGACAGGTAAGCCTGGTGGGCTACAGTCCATGGGGTTGCAAAGAGTGAGACATGACTAAGCGACTAACATGGGCTAAGTGAGTTTGACTTGTATGTCTGTCTCCTCTACTGGATGTTTGAGCTCACCAAGACCAAGAATTGTGTCTTCTACATCTTTGTATTTTAATCTCTGATATTTAATCTATGCCCAAATGCACAGTGATTAGTAAAAAAAAATGTTAGCTGGATGAGTATATAAGTGAGTGATTAAGACGAATGATACACAAAATAATGGAGGTGGTAAGAAAGCACATGGGACGCTTCACCATCTGAGCCGTCAGGGAGCCCTAAGAATGCAACAGTCGACTACAAATTGGCGCTTGCCAGGAGCATTTGCCAGCAAGTGAACAGCAACAACAGGGGCATCTGCTGACCTTCAACACCCCCTGAAGGGAATACAGGGTAGACAGTGAGGCATCTGTGCTCCAGAGAAACTGGTGGAACAGGTCTTTAGATAGGTATTTTCGGGAACTGATTTCATGACCCCAATCCTTGTAGCTCCTTGTATCTAGAAAAGCACTAAATCCGTCATGGTGACATCAGCTCCTCGTGACTAGCAGAAAACCTCGTTTAAAGTAAGCGCTTCATTGCACTGCACTCCCCTTCACCAAAATCCTATATGTGACTCCTCCACTGCTGCTTCGGAGCAGGGCCCCAGAGCTACCTGAGGAGCTGCCTTTCAGGCTGCAGTTCTCATTTTCCCTAAATAACACTTGGCTCTCAACTCTCACGTTCTGCCTCTGTTAGTTGACACAACTTTCAAGATGACAGCTCTGAACAAGACAATATTTACATGAAGCTTAATATTTGATGCATTAATTTAAAAACAGTCATGTCTGATACTAATTTTTTTCACTCATATAGCATGTTATGATTTTCAATGCCTTTTCATCTTTACTGTCTTGCTTGATACTCACGTGCTGAAATAGGGAGGCTAGGTGATGAGCCCCAGGAATAAAGTATGCTTAAAGAGAGCTTATGTTGGAACGTAATGCTCTGACCTACCAGGCTGCTGTCCTTTTCATCAGGCCAGGGCCCAGGCCTCTGTGGCTACACTGCTAGTACCAACTGGCATTATCCAACCTCCTTATGTGGTTATAATTCAGTTATATCACCAGGAGGAAAAACCACGGCTTTGCCTCTTGCATTAACGGACAGTGAAACGTTAGCCTGTTAAAAGAAGGCTCATGTGCCACACTGCCTTTGGAAACCACTATGGGAATTTGAGGTGTCCATTAAAGTCAGACATGAAAAGCCTCCTTCTAGGATCGAAAGGTGAATGGAGTCAACAAATCTCCTCCGGCACCTGGGTTTGTGAAATGAACCAACAGGATGGAACAGCAGCAACACAGGGAGCAGCTGGATCTCCACGTGTTCCAGGGGCAGCGTCAGAGCACAGAGTGCCCGGCAATTGCTCTGTCTGCCAGAGAGAGACAGTGACTGCAGACGGCTTCTCCAGCATCTGGGAAATGAAGCTACATGCTATTACTCTGCTAAATACGGAAATATGTCAACTCTAAGCATGGAAAGACACCCACCTCAAAATTGCTAATATTTCGATTTTGAAAAATTTATTTCCACAGATACTTGATGCATGCAGTCAGAGGGGCTTTGGAGGCTGCAGTCAGGCACAACAAAGACATGTCTTTTCAAATTTTGACCTTACAGACCATGAAGAGAAGTCTCTATTTTTAATCCTGGGCAACATACAAAATACATAACAACTGGACATTTAAAAATAACCATTTTCAGTTTAATAGATTATATATAAGCCTATCCTATCTGTCACAAAATGTATCATTTTGTTACTAAAATTTTTCAATCTGATACAATTCTGCATGGGCTGAAAATAAACAAGATAAGCTAAAACAGCATTAAAGGCAAAGAGAATTTGTGCAAAGCTAGAAGAAAGGAAAGCATGACACTGCCAACCCTCTCTGACCCTCCAGACAAAGGAGAAACCAGAGGTCTGGTTCTGTGTCTGAACAGAAGGGAGCATGCAGGAACTTGGAAGATGCTGCCTATACAGAAGGGTTAATAATGGATAATCACAAGAGAATGAGTCATTAAAACCTTTGTTCTCTTTCATGAAAGGTTAGAAAGGATTGTCCAGAATATTAACTTTCATCAGGAATTTGTTTTTCTGAATATCCTGCATATTTACCTTGCCTGATACAACTTTTTCCCATGATGGGAGATTCAAGAGTGTTTGAAGCCATTGGTCTTCTGTTAACTCAGAGTTTGAGTACCACCATTCCTGAGAGGAGAAAAAGAGAGAACACAGAATTCATCACTGCTCCTCAGCTTGAGTGGTCAAGAGTGGTCTAATAACAGAAATGGTCAAATGTACCTGAGCTTTTAAAATGAACAATGACTTTCGCTACCCAAACTAGGATAACTCTAACATATAGAGGAGAAAATTCATTTACTTATTCGACAAATGCTGAGTATAAGGCACTGTGTTGGAGACTAAATGATTTTTGTGTTCTGATTGTTCACATTCTCGAGGACAGGCAAGACATGCACATGAATACAGCACAACGTGGAAAGTGGTGAGAGCTATGAGAAGGTGGTGGTGGTGTTTAGTCTCAGTTGTGTCTGACTCTTTGCGACCCCACGGACTACTGCCTGCCAGGTTCCTCTGTACATGGGATTTTCTAGGCAAGAATACTGGGGTTGCCATTTCCTCTTGTAAGAGATCTCCTGACCCAGGGATCAAACCCATGTCTCTTGTGTTTCCTGAATTGGCAGGCAGATTCTTTACCAATGAGCCAACTGGGAAGCCCCATGAAAAGGTAGAGACCTTGCTGAAGGGGATTGGAAGGAGGGGAGGATCCCATGAGAACTCAAAGGGGGAGAGGAGGTGCAAATACCAAACCTATGGATATGTCGTCCCTTTCAGTAAGAGTACAGAAAAGCCTCTGATGGCCTTCCACACCCAGTGAAATCCAAAGCAGGCAGTGGGCTTCTTGGGTTCCTTAACATCCCCTGTGAGCATCTTCCCCAGCTTGCTAGCTGATGCTACATACTTTGCTCATGTTCAGCCAGCATTTCTCCAGCACATTCCCTTGAGTTTCACAGAGCTGTAAAGCTGTGTTCAGGAAGAGGTCACAATTCTGCCCCTCTCCCATTAGTATACAGACATAGGCCATCAGATGGTAGAGCCTCGGGTAGAAGACAGGCCCAGTGGTGTTCTGAGCCACCAGATTCTCCAAGTTCTAAAGGAAAAAAGCAACATAGTGGAATCAGAAAGGGATCCTTGACTCAAAGGAGTTTTCCATCTCAATGATTTGTGATCATTTCAACAGTATAAGCAGTCAAGTAAAAAAGCACCTTACAGAAACATACACAGAAAGTAGTGGAGATTAGATGATAAAAGTCAAGTAGAGTGGCCCCAGTGGCCTACCCCAACCAAGAATGTGATATGGGTCTGCTCATTAACCCTTTTTGGCAACCATTCTTAAAAAACAAAACTGAGTCCCTCTGAAACTCAGTTCCCCTGCTGAGTTTATGGTTTACTTCTTTACCCAAAACTTTATTCTCTTTCTTGTCTTGCCCCATTCCCCTCAAGACTTTGACTTGAGGAGTATTGAAGAAAGCAGGAGGCTGAAACTGGGTGAACTCTGCAGGGCCCTCCCAGGTACAAAAGCCCTTCCATGTCCCCTGTTTCATGTTTGTAGAAAAAGGCTTCAGCCTCCTATCTCTTCCCTGAGTTCCAAAGGGCAGATTCAAGCAGTTACTAATTAGGGAAGTAGGGCAATATAGGAAAAAAACAGTCAAGAAACTATAGTTCAGTGGTAAAAACAGAGTCTGAGTTCTTCCCCAAGGAAAATACATGACAATCCAATACATATCTTTGAGTTCTTCTGCAGGAACTAAGACCCTCACCCAGCTACAGGATGCTGACTCCATGCTGACTGTAAAACAGACCCCAGACTGGTTAGAACCAGAAGTTTGATGATTAAGATTCGTGAAACACCACCCTGTTACCTCACCACCAGCCAATTGGAATAAAGTCATGTACACTGCAGCCCTCACTCCAAATGTTGCCTTTAAAAACCTTTCCTTGAAAGTCATTGGGGAGTTTGGGTTTTTTGAATATGAGCCACCCATTCTCATTGCTGGGCCTGACAATAAATGCTGTACTTTCCTTCACCATTACCTGATGTCAGTAAATTGACTTTGCTATGTGGCCAGCAAGCAGACCCAAGTTCAGTTCAGTAACAATAGCAACATTTTCTTTTGCTTACCAAAGCAATATAATTTTTAAAAATTAGAAAATTATACCTCAACTGAAAAAAGAAATGTAAACACTGAAAAGGGGGAAAAAAAGGGGAAAAACAAACAGCACAGAATTTAAAAAAAAAAAAAAGGATAGAAAAAAAAAATCACTCATAACCCTAACACCTAAAAAAAATTATTTTGACATTTGGATACACACTTTGACATTTGGATACACATGTTTATTTCTTTGCTGTGGACAGGGAATGTTGCCCACCATCCCAGTTCTACAAGAATCAAACCATTAGTCACTGCAGCCACCCACCAATGGTGTGCCTGAGAAAAACAGGAAGGGTCCTGTGCTTTGGATAGTTAAGATGCATATCTAAGGAATAATTTCAATGAATCCAAATCCTTGCATCTTCTATACAAAGAAAAGTGTTAAAATCATTAACTTGTGATGTCATTCTTTGTGATTAGCAGTAATCTTTTGATGTTTTTCCCAGGAAAAACTCCTATATATACTGCCCTCTTCCTTACTTCCTCAGAGCAGTTACTCAAAAGCTATCTGTGAGGCTGTCCTCCAAGCTACAGATATAATCCTCAGAAAGAACCCTAAACAAAATCTGACTTGCAACGTCAGTTAGCACTATCACACACACACACACACACACACACACACACACACACACACACACTCATACTCACCACAGCTGGTATCATACTAAACAGCAATTCAAAATATTTTTTTCTCATTTAGCACAACATTATGAATCTTTTCCAATGACATGATTCTTTAACATCAGATCTCACAAATCCAAATGCAGACAGAGTTAAGTAAGAAACATAAATAAGAGGTAAGATAAGAAGCAAGGAGATTATGTCATGCTGGAGAGAGTATGACCTAAATGCCACCCTTCATCAGTTCCAGCCAATAGCTGCCACTTAGAATTGGGGCTTAGAGTCACAAGATACTGCAATTTTTAAAAGAAGGGTCAGAAATTCAGATTTTTAATGTGAAAATATCTTAATGTTTAAATATACCATTTCTGACTAATATATATATATGTGTATATATGTATATATTTCAGTTGTGTCCAATGCTTTTGTGAACCCATGGACTGTAGCCTGCCAGGCTCCTCTTTCCGTTGGACTTCCCTGGCAAGAATGATGGAGTGGGTTGCCATTTCCTCCTGCAGAGATAACCAACATTTTCAAAGGCATATCACTTTTCTCCCCCTAGTTTTTTAATACTATAAATCTGAGATCAACATCTTTATATATATAATTTTTATTTACCATCTGATTATCTCCTTAGGGTCATTCTTAGGAGGAGAATTAAATGATATGCATATTTTAAAGATATTTATGCATTTTGCCAGAATGCTGTCTAGAAAGTTTATGAGAGTCCTTCAGAGTATTAATGTCTTCTCTGTTGTCTGCTAATTTGACCATCAACAAGACAATGTCTTATTCTTTTATTTCATTTACTTCAATATCCTTGAAAGCAGAAGAACCAGAGATCAAATTGCCAACATCTGTTGGATCATAGAAAAAACAAGGGAATTCCAGAAAAGCATCTACTTCTGCTTCATTGACTAAAGCCTTTGATCATGTGGATCACAACAAACTGGAAAATTCTTCAAGAGGTGGGGATACCAGACCACCTGACCTGCCTCCTGAGAAACCTGTATGCAGGTCAAGAAGCAACAGGTAGAACTGGACATGGAACAATGAACTGGTTCAAAATTTGGAAAGGAGTACATTAAGGCTGTATATTGTCACCCTGCTTATTTAATCTATATGCAGAGTACATCATGCGAAATGCCAGGTTGGATGAATCACAAGCTGGAATCAAGATTGCTGTGAGAAATATCAATAACCTCAGATATGCAGATGACACCACCCTAATGGCAGAAAATAAAGAGGAACTAAAGAGCCTCTTGAGGAAGGTGAAAGAGGAGAATGAAAAAGCTGGCTTAAAACTCAACATTCAAAGAACTAAGATCATGGCATCCAGTCCCATCACTTCATGGCAAATAGCTGGGGGAAAAATGAAAACAGTGCAGACTTTATTTTCTTGGGCTCCAAAATTACTGGGGACAGAGCTTTCAGGCTTGAAGTTAAAAGACACTTGCTCCTTGGAAGAAAATCAATGACAAACATAGACAGCATGTTAAAAAGCAGAGATAAAAAGCAGTCTGGAGCAGACTGGCTCCAGAATTAATGGCTGAAAGGATATGACTGTGTAGTCAAAGGTCTGTATAGTCAAAGCTAGGATTTTTCCAGTAGTCATGTACAGATGTGAGAGTTGGACCGTAAGAAGGCTGAGTACCGAAGAACTGCTACTTTCAAACTGTGGTGTTGGAGAAGACTCTTGAGAGTCCCTTGGACTGCAAGGAGATCAAACCAATCAATCCTAAAGGAAATCAGTCCTGAATGTTCATTGGAAGGATCAATGCTGAAGCTGAAGCTTTACTTTGGCTACCTAATGGGAAGAGCTGACCCATTGGAAAAGACCGTGGTGCTGGGAAAGACTAAAAGCAGGAGGGGAAGGGGACGACAGAGAATGAGACGGTTGGATGGCATCACCGATTCAGTGGACATGAGTTTGAGCAAAGTGCAGGAGATAGTGAAGGACAGGGAGGTCTGGCGTGCTGCAGTCCATGGGGTCACAGAGTCAGACACGACTGAATAACAACAACAAACTTCAATATCATAGAAATAGATTGAAACATAGAGTTTTCCTGACTAAACTGTTACATGTTTTCATCCATCAATTATTTATTCAAGAAATTAAACATCTCCTGTGTGTAATCAACCCTATGGGACATTCCCAGAACAAACCATTCACACCACATCCTCTGC